TTAATAGAACAGGACTGTGTACACCCTTGTTCAGAAATGTAGAGCCAGCTACTTCTAGAATACATCCCAAGGCCATCTGCAGTGGTCCTCTCAGAATATCTGAGTTCAAGAGAGAATATTTATGTCCCTGTGTTTGCAGCTGCTTAAGTAGTAGCAATGTAAGGTGACTTGTTCCATCTGATTATATTTACAGAAAACAAAATTGGTTGCAAAGCCCAAGAAGGACAAGAGGCAAAATATCCAGTGTAAGTGATTACCAAGGACTGTTAATGAGATCTATGGTGATATGGACATGTCCCTTGCAGATCCTAGGAGAAAACAGCTCTGCAATTAGACAACCCTAAAGTAGATCCTTGAAGTAATTTGCTTACCTGCATTTATTTCAGGGGTTGAAAAACAATTTGATTTATTTCTTACTTTAAAATAGAGTTCAGGTGAGCAGATAATATTCTACACTCTCTTGTGGTAGGAGAAAAGATTCATATTAAACACAACAGTGAAAGAACAAGGCCTGGAATCCCCACATCAGCAAGCTTTCTTCACTGGGACTCTGCAAGTAAATTGCAGCAAAATGCAGTTTCTATGTTTCTTATGGTGTGCATGCCATATCTACCATGCAGGGAGGTTGAGTATCCTTGCTCACCAGTATGTTATCTGGCCAGTGCATTGAGGACCTGCTGCTCTGCAACTCCCCACCCAGCACCCACACTGTTCTTCAATTCCATCAACAGTCACTCTCTGTGCTAGTCAGAGAAGGATTTTATGATTCCTCTTCTGCAAAGGGGAAACCACTCTGCCTTCTCTGGCCCCTTCTTTAGTCTCCCTTCAGGACCAACTGAGAAGTTGTCAAATCTAAACTTTCAGTGTTTAACATTCTCTTCTCCTCACACACTTGGGTTCAGCAGGGAACTGCAAGTTGTGGAAGACATTACTACAGTGCTGCAGCACTCACAGGATGAGGTGTATTTGGCTCCTTCCAGTTGCCAGGACTTGTGTGATTTCCACCAGACTACTAAAACTCCAGCATCTCCCCCTGAGGAGCAGTTTGAGTGCTGTATTCTGGACATGGATGGTGAGTGCACCCATTGAAAGTAGATTAAGGCTCCAGTGGTCTCCCCTGTAGCTTCCCTATACTTTAACTCAGCTATCTGTGTGGTGGAAAGCTGTCTCTGCTGCAAGCCCTGCAGATATATCTGAGTTTGAGTCAAACTCTAGGACTGTGTTCATGCATACACATAAGGACAGTCAGTTTTCACCTTCCTACTCTCAGGGCACACCTGTCTGACTTGATGCACATTAGCAAATTCAGATGTGGAATCAGTCATGTCAGGGTGAAGACAGTACCTGAATCCTACATATTTTTAATGTGTCATCTTATCTCACTATTAAAAGTCATTTCTGAACAATGTTCCTTCAGCATCAGCCATTTCCAAGGAGGGTGGTACCCTTGCCCATAATTTTGGAGTTGTTTTCATCATTGCTCTGCTCTGACCTCCAGTCCATCTCCTCCTTGCTTATCCTGAGTAAGCATTCCTCTGAGTACCTAAACAATCCCCACTTTTTTTTGCCTATGTATATAATTCCTTGAAGGTAATGTCATACCCTGGCACCCCCAATTTACATGAATTGCAAAGGTTCTGTACCAGAAAATGCTGAAAATATTCCTTCCCTTATGGGAATTTATATTTCACATAAATCTAATCTCAGATGACAATCTCTGTTTTCATCTGAACCAAGATGAGTATGCTTTTCTACAAGGCAAGTTGAGCAAATGTCCAGAAAGCAGCTAAGCATGTCCCCCAGGATACCTGTGGGGAAGCTTAACTGTTTTTCAGTGTTCGGGCTGTGAACATAATGATTTAACAGAACAGGACTGTCTACTCAATGGTTATGGAAAACAGAGCTGGCTATTCCAAGAATACACCCCAAGGCCACCTGCATGGTTCAAGAGAGAATATTTATGTCCCTGTTTGCAGTTGGTAAAGAAGTATCAATGTAAGATGACACATTCCATCTGGTTATATTTTCAGAAAACAAAATTGGTCTCAACGCTGGAGAAGGACAAGATGCAAAGGTTTCCAGGTGAGTGATTACCAAGCATTATCAATGAGGCATAAGGTGATGTGGACATGTCCCCTGCAGATCCCAGGAGAAAACAGCTCTGTAATTAGACAACCACAAAGTAGATCCTTACATGGTTTTGCTTCCTTTCTTTTATTTTCTTCAGTTCATAACCATTTCTAATTAATTTATTAAATTAACACAGAGTTCAGCTGAGTAAAAAAATGCTCTACAGTCCCTTATATTTGGAGAAAAGATTAATCTTAAACACAATAGTGAAAGAATAAGGCCTGGAATGCCCATGTCAGAAAGATTTCTTCACTGGAACCCTGCAAGTAAAGTGGAGCAAGATGCAGTTTTTGTGGTTCTCATGGTGTGCATGTCATCCCTGCCCATACAGGGAGGTTGGTCTCCTTGCTCACCTGCATGTTATCTGACCTCCTTGAGCACCATTGAGCTCCACTGAGTACCCCTTCTCTCAAATTCTACCTCCACTGCCACAACCCCCCTGACACACACACATACACACTGTTCTCAAACTCCTGTGTCTCAGTCACAGAGGATTTTTTGGAATGTCCTATTTGCATTTTGTGACCTCCCATTTAGGCTATCCATAAGGTGCAATTGAAAAATTCTCAAGTCCACAATTTTGTTGTTTAACATTCTCTTCTTCTTACACACTTGGGCTCATCAGGGAACTGCATGGGGATGCAAGCCTTAGCGCAGTGCAGAAGGACTCATTGCATGAGCAGTTTTTGGCTCCATCCTCTTGTCATGATCTATCTGAGTTCCACCAGCCTCCCAACACTCCATCCTTCCTATCTGAGGAGTACATGGTGCACAGTCCTCTGGCTGTGTCAGGTGAGTACCCCCACTGCAGAGAGAATAAGGCTCCCAATGGTCTCCCCTGTAGCCTCCCTATCTTTTACCTCAGCCTTCTATCTGTTAGACAGCTCTCTCTGCCTCAGGCCCTGCTGCTATACCTGGGTTTCAGTCAAACTCTAGGAGTGGGTTTTAAGCACAGACATAAGGTGGGTCAGGCAGCTTGTACTCTTCCTGGTTTCATGCCACACTTCTCACCTTGGTATATTGGCAAATGCAGTGTGTGGAAGCAGTGAAGAGACTGAGTGAATCCCACAGTCTGTATTGTAATGTGTCATCTCAACTCTTCTTTAATTGTCTTGTTAAATATCACTTCTGAACAGTGTTCCTTCAGCATCTGCAGTTTGAATGGTAATCTTATCTATGCTTTTGGAGATGTTATTAAGGTTGCTGAGTTCTAGGCTCCAGTCCATCTCCTCCTGACTTGTCCTCCTCTAGCATTCTTCTGAGTACCTGAACATTCTTGCACTATCATCCTTTCTTGTATATTAAATTTTCCCTGAAGGCAAGGCTACATCCTGGTACCCCAAACCTCGATGAATAGCAAGGATGCTGTGCCTGGGAGAGCAACAAGAATTCCTTATCTTGAGGTAGTTTGTATATTTCACCTAAATCTAATCTCAGTGTCTATTACCATGTAAACCAGAAAAAGGAAGATGTGTGATGGGAGAAGTTGGGCAAGAGCTCCCAAAGGCAGCTAGACAATTTCCCCAGGATATCTGTGGAGAAATTGGATGCTTAACTGTTTTCCAGTGTTCAAACAGTGGACATGTGTTGATGATTTATCAGAACAGGACTATCATCTATGCAGTGGTTCAGGAAAACAGAGCCAGATATTCCTAGAACACACCCCACATCCAAGTGGTCCTTTCCAAGGACTCCAGTTCAACAGATAATATTTAAGTCCCTGTGTTTGCAGTACATAAAATGGTAGCAATATAAGGTGACTT